ACCATCAGAACCAACAGAACCATCAGAACCATTAGAACCATCAGAACCTTTATAACCATCAGAACCAACAGAACCATTAGAACCTTTATAACCATCAGAACCATTAGAACCATCAGAACCTTTATAACCATCAGAACCAACAGAACCATTAGAACCTTTATAACCATCAGAACCAACAGAACCATCAGAACCATTAGAACCATCAGAACCAGCAGCTGCCCAGGATCTGAACACATGCATATTTGAACTAGTTTAATCCTTGATATGAAATATTTTTTCCTTGTCTTCAGTAATCAGGTCGTTGCTCCGGTCTGTTTGGTGAACGAGGAGCTGAACCACAGAACTCTGGAACACTGACCAGAAACTCCACCTCCCATAACACGTTGGTTCTTTTACCCAGGTAATAGCCACATCCCAACTGCTCACCACAGCTCATCAGTGAGTAAAACTCTTATTTTACTTTGAACAGAATTTATTTTATTTATTTCACATTTAGTCAGTCGTGTTAAAACACTGTTTGTCTGCAGGAAATACCAGGTAGAGCTCAGTGTTTGTTATCAGGGCTCAGGATCGTGATGAYTGGTATCATGAAGAGTCGGACCAACCTGCTGTACGCAGGTTCACAAACTGCAGCTCATTTATCAGGAAGTGAAGTTTGAGCTCTGATCTGTTGACAGCAGACGATCACGTCATGGAAATAAAATAAATTAACAGAGTTTAAAAACATTCAATGTTTTAAAGAGAAGATAAAACTGGTTTCCTGTGAGGTGATAAACGTTTCAGTAGAATCTGACCTGACAGAAACAAGCTGAGGTCTGAAGTCACCTGTTGACCTTTGACCTCTCCTTCAGAAGGAGAGGATAACCAGTGTTTCCACTTTACAGCTGCTGACCTGATCTGACCTCAAACTGCAGACTTTCAGAATAAAAGCGTGGGTTTTCTCTGGTATCCTGTCTGCTGACCTGATTCAGACCCAAAAACTCATTTCAGCTCAGAACCATCTGATCTGACCAGAACCACAGCAGACCTCTTGTCCTCATCAGACGCAGCTTAAGAACATTTAAATCCACAAAAATCTGATTTTATTTTCTTATCCTTCAGATCAAACAAACTAAAACCTGCCAGAAGAACAAAGTAAATTTATATTTTAATGTTTAATATCKGTGTCTGTGTGAGGGACGAGCTGATGGACGGCGGTGAGCTTCATCGTTCTTTAAAATCATCTTCGTCACCGCAGCTCCCCTCCTTCAAAGCATCACTTCACTGCTCGTTGTCACGGCAACCCTCCTCCTTCCAGCTGCTACAGTGACACCTGGCGGTCCTCTGGTTGCCGTGGCGATGCCTTCTCCCATCCTGTTGTCACTGAATCAGGGATGAATATTTAAGACATCCCTCATCATCATCATCCTCCTCTTCCTCTGCTCTACTTGTTGTTTTTCTTCAGGCTTTTCTTTAATCTGGTTTCTTCTGTTCTTTTCTCTGGTTTTTACACTTTTCTTTCCTCCTCCTCCTCCTCCTCCTCCTCCTCCTCCTCGCTGTAATCTCACCTGTTTCTGGCGGCTCTGACTCAGCTGTAAATCCTCTTCATCACTGCTGCTCTTATCCATCGCTGCTCTTTCTGACTGAGCTCCTCTCCAGCTGACGCTCCGGCACCTGGAGTCTCTTTATGGTTTTATTTTTCCCTCCAGATGAAAGCTCATTTATTCTTTTATTCTTRTTTTCTTCTCACTCTGTCATTTTGTTGTGCAGGAACGCTCCTGTCAGCAGATCTGAAYAGCTGAGCTTCAGAGCTGAAGGTGTCTGCAGCTGACAGAAGCTCTTCAGCTCAGGAAGCCTCTGAACTTCTGACAAACCTGCAGAAAACCTCCGACGTCTCAGCGCCGCGTAAAAACATCAGACCAAACGCTTCGAGACTCACCTGTCCGTCACTCACACTTACRTTAGTGGCTGAATCTTCCGCCGGCTTGGCTCCGCCCTCTTCCTGGAGGTCCGGCGCCGTCGGGACAGAAACGGGCAACAAGGGGGAGCGGGCTTTACCCGCCTGACCCAGAGAGGCCGTCTTCACCTGGGGCTTCGGCAGGCTGGCAGCTGGAAGAGACGGCAGGAGGTTAAAAACAAGGGATTCCCATAAGTTCTGAAAATGTTACATTTTCAGGACTTTTTGAAGCAAACTACTCAAAACACCATGAAAAATATATATATTTAACAGTTTTAGCAGAGAAACAATGGTAAAAATGTTTCCGGAAGTCTTTTTTAGAGGAACCAAATTGTTTTGAGTTTACATCAATAATGTCCGTCCRCACAATAAAATACAGGAAATTATATTCTTCTTGCAGTTTTTACACAAATAAATCTATTARTTTTGTGGATCGCACAGCTAAAATACTTCAATTTAAATGAGTAGAATGATCTTTTTGTGATATTTATTTATTTGTTCAGATAAATTTCCAACCTTCTCATTGTATGTCGTTTATTTCAGCCGTACGGTCCATAAAATATAACATTTATGAACCCCGTAATGTTTAATACAAGCTCTAAGTCATAAATGTCGTCTGTAGTGTGGTAAAGCTCAGATATCCCAGCTTTTCTCCAGCCTTGAATGCAGCGTTACAGGTGAAAGCTTCTAGTCATGTTTACAGGTGTGCAGATCTGCACTTTAATCTTTTTGAGACCAATTTCTCTCCATGCAAAATGTTTGTGTTAAAAACAGAGAAAACACAAACATTTGTTTTTATTTTTCTTCTTTCTTCCAGTCAGTGATTATTCAGAAAACATTCAGAGGGAAAAAATCAAAAAGAAAAAAAATAGTATAGGTCTTCTGGACGGGTTCTTCTCTAATGAAACGTTTCGTCTCTCCTCCAAGAGACTTCTTCAGTCTGAGAGTTTCAGGCTAAATTCAGGCTGTTAAGTGCCAGGAGGACTGTGACCAGTTATACATCGGGGAAACAAAGCAGCCACTGTTCAAAAGAATGTCCCAACACAGACGAGCTACATCTAATGGCCAGAWCTCTGCAGTTTTCACTCATYTACAGGCCAGCGGTCACTCTTTCAGAGATGAGGATGTTCTCATTCTTGATAGAGAGGAACGTTGGTTTGAGAGAGGAGTAAAAGAAGCCATTTTTGTGAAGAAAGACCGTCCATCATTAAACAGAGGTGGAGGCCTCCGTTTTCAGTTGTCCCCCTCCTACAGCGCTGCTATTGCTAGTATCACTCCACCCCTGTTAACAATAGGTGTTAATTAGGTGTGAACGATAGCCATGTGATGTGAGTATCAGTCACATGGAGGCAGGGCTTAAAAGCCTGAATTTAGCCTGAAACTCTCAGACTGAAGAAGTCTCTTGGAGGAGAGACGAAACGTTTCATTAGAGAAGAACCCGTCCAGAAGACCTATACTATTTTTTTATTTTTGTTTTTTTACCTGGATTACTGAGATGCATCAGGACATTCAGAGGGAACAACTSAGAATCTAAAATTATTTACAAAGTGAACTTCAGCAGAGTGAATCATCCCCGTTCAGCCGGCAGTTTAATGGTTATAAAATGGATGAATGGGTACAAAATGGGGGAAAAAAAGGTTTAAAAAACGGTACAAACTGATTTTATGCAAGTGAAAGTGGCCAAAACTTAATGAAATGACAAATTAAGTGGAAAATAGGAGGAAAATTGGATTTATTTAAAGGTTTTTCAAATTAAAGAGAGGAGATAAAGAAAATCATCAGGTTATAAACCTGCAGGTTGTCTGAAGGTGAGATTTACCTGGAATAAATAAATCTTCAYGGAACATTTTCTCTTTAAAATCTCAGATTTTAAGAAAATGACGAACTTAATCAGGAACGTAACGATGGAACAAAGAGTAAAAGATGTTCTGAGAACAAAAAGTATAATTTGAAGCAGCAGGACGGAACAATCAATGATTTTAAATCAAACAGATTCTAATCAGCTGAGGCGAGTCCAATCAGGGAGCTTTCAGAGAGTTTACWGTACGAGTTTAGAGGTCAGAGCGTAATCAGAGCCGCTGGACAGAGAGAATACTAAACACCAGGTCAGGACAGGAAGACGTCACCAGTGAGGCCGACGCCCACCTGCTCCACGCCAGCGTCAGAGAAAACATGGAGCTGCAACAGTTTCRGACACACAACAGGTTTTTATTTCAGACAGGAAGTACGGAGCAGAGTTTGGATGAGGAGGAGGAGGAGGAGGATGTTATCAGAACCAGACTCACGTCAGGTGACCATGTTAAAAATGTTAAAATGAGATTTTCCTGTTTGTTACGCTAAATATTTGCTTCATTTATTCAATTTCATCAGAACAAATTCAGAACAGGTTCATGATTATAACCTGAGAGAAACAACAGGAAGTCTTTAGTTATTCAGACAGTCTTCACCCTGAAGGTCAGACTGTGCAATGCTCCATCCCAGACTCTACAGACATTAGTTAGCAAAGGGCACTTAATATCAACGTTACCTTTTCTTACTATGCAGGATTTCTTTGTGCAGCTTGTAATAAACTGATTAGATCAAAGTCAATTTTCTTCCAAGCACAATTAATGATAAAACAATTAGATAAAAACTGATATTTAAATGTAATTCTACTTGGAAATCCAGCCAAGATAAAATGTTTACATGTACAGCTCGCGCTTCATAAGATGGCTCTACGCTCTACCCTTTTCTAAAGCTGGCTGTTGCCTGAATTTAATGTACATCATTGGCTAACGCTAATACAGAGCTAATGCTAATGTTAACAGAGCTAACACTAATACTAACACAGAGCTAATGCTAATGTTAACATAGACTAATACTAACACATAACTAATGCTAATGTTAACAAGAGCTAATGCTCATGCTAACATAGAGCTAACCCTAGCACATAACTAATGTTAATGTTAACAGAGCTAACACTAATACTAACACAGAGCTAATGCAAATGTTAACCAGAGCTAATGCTCATGCTAACACAGAGCTAATGTTAACTAGAACTAATGCTTATGCTAACACATAACTAATGCTAATGTTAACAAGAGCTAATGCTCATGCTAACAGAGCAGCTAATGCTAATGTTAACATAGACTAATACTAACACATAACTAATGCTAATGTTAACAAGAGCTAATGCTCATGCTAACAGAGCTAATGCTAATGTTAACATAGACTAATACTAACACATGACTAATGCTAATTTTAACAAGAGCTAATGCTCATGCTAACACAGAGCTAATGTTAACTAGAACTAATGCTTATGCT